AGTGAAGGATTTGGTCTCGGGCCAATGATTGAAGGCCTTATCAAGTGATACAGGGTGGCCAGGGTGGCTCCTCCCGAAGTACTGTATGTCGACCGAGACTGCTGTGGCAACACTCTTTTGAGGAGGATGTTTGAAGAGTGGGAGCAAATGACCATCCGGTTAGATGTATGGCACTTCATGCGGAGGTTTGCTGTGGGTTGCACCACCGACTCTCACCAGTTGTATGCCACATTTATGAGTGGCCTCAGCCACTGTATTTTCATGTGGGACCAGCTCGACCTGACGGCCCTGAAGACGGCGAAGCATGCAGAGCTAGAAGCTGACGGGAAACCATCATCCGAGGCTGATGTGCTGCGCTGTATCAGTCGTAGCGAGCTAGCACTACATTGCAGGAGAACCACTCGCGGGACCAAAGAGACCCTGGCGCTTATTGAGAGCCATATTCAGGCCTTCGATGGAGATGCTGGTCGTGACACTCTGGGAGTCCCACTAATAAACTCAGCCCGGATGAGAGAGATTTTAAAGTCCCAGCGGAAGCACGTGGCCTGCATCCAGGATCCTGTCGGTGTGCAGCTCTACATGCAGACGGGTACCTTATTGAAGGGAGGGCACCGTCTGCCAACCTACCGCTGTGCCAGAGGTTCCACTTCGCTTGAGTCATTTCACCTGCACCTTAACAGATTCATCCCAGGTTAATAAATGATTTAACTGAATTATTAAAATAAGATTTGCTTTATATTGAAATAATTATGAGAATTGCAAGAACAGCTATTTGTGTATTTATATGAAATTTTTGTGCGTAATTTTTTTGTTTTGTTTTTTTAATTTACAGGCACGCTGGCAAGTGACACCTTCTTTCAGGCGTATCTTTTGGATGGACTTGCAAGGTGGAATGAGGACCGGGCTGTGGCAGCAACAACTGATGAGCAGCAGCTACATTCCTACAATCATCTTCTGCGTCATGCTGTCAATACTCTTGCAGAGGAGCTTATGGGCATGAAAATCATCCCTTATGTTGGGCCAAGAAAGTACACTGGTAGATAACTATTTTTTGTTTTTGGTGACAATTTCATTCAAGTTCAGACACACCATTTAACCACTGAGTTATAATATAATATCATGGTATATTATCTAATTGTCATTGTTTTACTATTTTAAAGGTGAGCTTATTGGTGTGGAATATCTTTACCAGCAAACTGGTAAAGTTCTGCAGGACTACAAGTTGGCCATTGAAGAGTCAGAGACCACTGAGGTTGGTATAGAGGTGGATGAAGGTTATGCTGAACTTGAGGAGTTTCAGGACATCACTGTCCCCACCTTTGACACTGAACGGACACCTGCTGCCTCTTCACAAGCATCAGTGTCTGCAGCATCTGCAGCATCATCTTTAACCCCTCCAGCAACCAGCTCCACGTCATCCCTGTCTGTAGTCCCTCCATCACCAGTGACATCTCCTGTCACCAGCTCCACGTCATCACTGTCTGTGGTCCCTCCATCACCAGTGACATCTCCTGTCACCAGCTCCACGTCATCACTGTCTGTGGTCCCTCCATCACCAGTGACATCTCCTGTCACCAGCTCCACGTCATCACTGTCTGTGGTCCCTCCATCACCAGTGACATCTCCTGTCACCAGCTCACCGCACACTCAATCAAAGCCAGCACTCTCTCCTGGAGCACATAGCTGTGAGTTTTACCAAAGTATTCATAAAGGTTTCGGTATTTGTTGTCACACTAACTCTAAATGTTTATTTATCACATTGAAAGACATAAATACAAATTTAAAATAAATATTTACCTTTGTGATGTAGTCCCAGTGGACAGATTATCTGCAGAAACGGATCTTCCAACATCGGAAGAGAACACTTCACATGATGTAAGGGCCCAGTTTCTTTTTTACGTACATTTACATGTGTGTAAACAAAATCTGGGTTATGTTGGCTGTGCTTTCATGTGAATATTTGTATTCATTGCTGCTATCAAAAGTTCCTAAATTATCTTTCATTTTAGGATTCTGTTGGACCCGATAATATTGAGGGGTATGGAGCTGTGCAGGACTTGGCAGAGTTTTTGGTTAGCCTCAGAGATCACCGTCTGGCCTTGACTGGAGAAGAGTGCTTCAAGATCATCACTCTATGGCAGGCATTGGGGGAGTATGACAAGAAGAAGACCATTTACCCACCACGTCACCAAACCACCCTAAAACAGGGACGATTCAGGGCCACTAAGAAGATTGTGGCCCCAGGTGTGCAGGTGTGGAAAAGGTATGTTACGTTTAGTAAACACAGGGTCTAAAAAGTTTTGTATAAAATATATATAATATAACTGAAACTGGCTGAAATATCACCTATAGCTTTATTTGTTTAGTAAGGATTTCTAGTAAAATGATTAAAACCTGATGCCTTCATGACTAGCTGATCTTCCTGCAGCCTGTTAAGTTCAAACTTAGCCTGGTTATAACATAAATTATTAGTTGTGATTTACGTTTAATGCTGACTATATGTTAGGTTGCTAAGTAAGTTACATTGCTATGGACACAGTTCCAACCGTACATTGGAATATTTTATTTAGCAGAAGCAAGGCAATCATTTCTTAATCAGTAAAATCATTTTGTATCAATATGTTGAGTCAAATAATTTGACTTTTACTGTACTTTAGTAAGTAGCCGTGTAATAAGCGGGACAATGTGCAGTCATTATTGTGAAAAATCCCCGACAGGCTGACTAACGACACCGTATCAACCTGTAATAATTCCACAACACAGTAACCCAGTAGAGACCTAATTTATTGATATGACATTTCAACATCGACCTAGAAAACAAAGAAAGACAACATAACTATGCGCAAATATTATAAATTAACATCTAGACAACACAAAGCAAAACAGACAGAATAGGAAAGGGAAAATAAAAATAAGATATAATAATATGTATTCTGTTGTAATTTGCAGGTGTTTCGTTGGGGCTCATAGTCCTGCACAGTGGCCTGACTGCAACCGAGTGGTGGAGGCCATCTTCACAAGGCTCTGTGCTCTCTACCCAAACGCGGTGCGCTGTGATGGAGTGAGGGTGTCCCGCTTCACTATGGTAGCACGTGCTTACAAGCACATCCGAGAGTGCATCCTCACCAATGCTAAGGTGATGAGCGAGACCACCATCCAGCTCCCAGAAGTGAACGCAGCAACAGTCACACAATGGTGAGTAAATTAGCATTGTTACCGCTAAGCCTAAACTTAAAGCAGCTAAGGGCTACACAGAGGGTCCAAGTAAGTTAAGCTCCAGATTGTTAAGACTGCACCAGACAGCCAGCTCTTTAACCTCCTGTCTGTAAGCAGACTCGTCTCATCCTTGATGAGGCCGATGACTGTAGTGTCGTCTGCGAACTTCAGGAGCTTGACAGAGGGGTCTTTAGAGGTGCAGTCATTCGTGTAGAGAGAGAAGAGCAGTGGGGAGAGTACACATCCCTGGGGGGCGCCAGTGCTGATGGTGATAGTCCTGTAACAAAGAGAGATAGCCACCATCACATCTTCAGTACTTTGGCAACTGGTTCTGTAAAGAGTCTGAGACTCAATCATATGATGAATGGAGGGCTGTGCTGAAGGAACGAGGTTATAGGGGAAAAAAACAGGAAATGGCAACCCTCCAGCTTCTTAAAATTGTTCTTTCAGCACATGTTATTTTTATGTATTTATTTGGTTAATGTTTGCTTTATAGAGCAATTTACAACTCTCCAACAATGACAGCTGTCTCTAAAATTTATAATAACTCTGTGTGTTTCCTCTGCTGCATGCCTCTGTTGGGAAAATATTTTATATTTCATATTTCATTTTTATATATACAGTGGGTACGGTAAGTATTCAGACCCCCTTACATTTTTCACTCTTTGTTATATTGCAGCCATTTGCTAAAATCATTTAAGTAAATTTTTTTTCCTCATTAATGTACACACAGCACCCCATATTGACAGAAAAACACAGAATTGTTGACATTTTTGCAGATTTATTAAAAAAGAAAAACTGAAATATCACATGGTCCTAAGTAATTTTTTTTTTTAGGCTGTCAAAATTGTACTGCAAATGTTTGTTTTGGTTTGATATTTATTATATTTTTTAGGCTGATATGTCAAAATTGTACTACTGTGGTAAACATTTGTTTTGGTTTACTATTTATTATTTTAAATTGATGTGTCAAAATTGCATTACTGTGCTAAATGTTTTATTGACTTTAAAAATATATGCAGATTAACAGGGTTGTTAATCTTTGTCCTCACACTATTGTTATTGTGCACTATTGTTATTTGTATTCTCACAATATTTGTACCTATAAACACATTTTTTTAAAAGTCTTCCAGTATTATTACATAACTGTAAATCACAAAATAAAAACAGGGACAGTCAAAATAAGGCAGAAAATATATTATATAATTTCTATACTGTAAAAAAGGCTGTCAATTAGCACTTCTTTTTTAGGTTGATGTGTCAAATTGTACTGCTGTTCTAAATGTTTTTATTGATGTTATATTTGGAAATAAAAAGGGGTCATCTTTGCACTCACATTGTTTTTGTGCCTATTTGTATTCTCACTATATTTGTAGTTGCAAAAAAATAAAAAAGCATTCCAGTATTACGTAACCGTAAAACACACAATAAAAACAGGGACATTCAGAATAAGGCAGAAAATATAATTTTTTATACTGTAAAAAAAAAGTGTCAGTTAGC